AGATAGTAATATACCGGTTTAAACGAAGTTATCAGCGAGGCAATCCGTCCATATTCAGTCATATCGAAAATGGAACGTTTAGAATAAGACCAATTTCAAATGCGATGGAAATGTTTGCCAAAACCAACTAAGAGCACTGGACAGCTATTTTGTCCTGTTTGGGACTCGTCAACTGTGCGTACTTTTTGTGTCCCTGTCAGGACTCGAACCGCGATCAGTCGGGCCGAGACTTCAAACCCTTATCCCTGAGCTACACGGCCGACGGTCATCACCTTGTGCGAATGGCTCAATCAATTTAGAGTATCAAGCTTGGATTAGCCCATTCGATTATTCAGAGGCACCAGGTCTCTGAACAATCGAATGGGCTAATCCAAGCTTGATACTCTGAAAATACCAATTTCAATTCAAAACTAACCTCATATGTAGGTGGAGATACGTGAATTTGAACATCGAAACGACCCGGCCGAAGTAACGCTTTGTCTAAATCTTCGGCTTGGTTGGTAGCACCGAGAACTATGATGCCCTCAGTTGACTGGAAACCGTCCATTTCGGCCAACAACTGATTGATTGTTTGGTTCGCGTATGGATGATGCGGAGAAGACGTTCTATTACGACCCACGGAGTCGATTTCATCAATGAAAATCAGGCACGGTGCATGTTGTTTGGCAGCGCTGAAAAGCTGACGCACTCGTGAAGCGCCCATGCCAACGAACACTTCTTCAAAGCTGCTACCCGAAACGTAAAGAAAAGGTACCTGCAAAAAAGAAACGTATTAAATATGAGATCATTGAAATTAGGAGAATCAGTTCAGATTAGCGGGGGGAGCTAAGATGGGTAGAATGACACTGAGAAATGATACGTATTGTGGAATAGTATGGAACTAGTTTTCCCGAGAGTGAAAGCGAGTATAATTCATAAACAAGAAATCAGGTCCAAAATAGCCTACAAAGAGTACAAAAAGCAAGAATTTGTACATTAAACATCGAATACATACATATTGATGAAAGAAAAAATCGAGTTGGAAGTGCTGATCAATGTTAAACAACAAATTTGCATTGGAGATGATACGCTTGTAACACCAAATCCTAGAAAGCATGATTATCGAATCCGTTTCGAGAACAGTGAATCCATCAAATTCGTTCGACCAGATCCTTGCGAGTTTTCCACTAATCACCATCATGAACGAGGGGTTCTGAAAACACTAAGATATTTCACGCTGACAAATGATAGATCCGATATTAGTTTATTAGGGTCAATCATCAGATGCTTCATGCATTTTGAATCGGAGCCAGTATTTCCAGGTCACTGTATTTGTCGATTAGTTCACAAACCCATCGAGACTTGCACGTTATGTCCATAAATATAAGCGTGATTCTGTTCGGAATGCCTCAATCCAGCGGTTAAGGGGAAAATACCAAGTGTGTTGCAATTAACCATAACACTAACGAGAGCGAAAAATACTGTGTCAAGTATGGAGGAATACCTCCGCGTCTTTTGTTTCACAAGAATCACATACAAAAATGTAATTTGCTAGGTAGTGCTTTAAAGAAGTGTGACTAATAGAGGTATCGGGAGTCGGGTAACGCAACATGCTTTTCTTTTTTTATTACACATCAGTGTGTGATGAACAGCAGACGGGGCGGACCCCATATTCACGAAGATATGCTGTTCAGTGATGGTAACCGGCAACCTAAGCTCCGGGGCTTGGAGTGGCGAACCATATAAAGCGCCGCTAGGTCAGGCGTGATATAGAACCGGGCGATGAGATTGCACCTTGACGTGGTGTGATGGCTTGTGCACCTCTGTGACCCAACGAGCGGCACAGGATGGCTTTTGTCAGGTTGAAGGTTCGACTTTAGTTGGCGTCTCAGTTGGTAAAACGTGTTGGAGGAGTAATTGATCCAAGTAAGTGGGCCTCCAATCTGTCTTAACCGCTGCCTTGTGGTGAGTTCCTTGTCAGAACTAAATGTTTTGGCTCAGAACCCTAACCGTTCTCCTGCTTAGTGGCTGGACATCCTAGCAGTACCAGTACATAAAGCCCCAATGAACACAAAATAAAAATGATTTCATACTTCATCGGTCGTCCGGCAGGATAATCAGGACAGTACTACCCATTGCGTCGAGCGGGGCGGGTAGTGATAAGTGGGCTACTGTACAGACATCCCAACTCTATCTTTCGTACCCAACCCTGTCCCGTTACTCCTTCTTCCGACCCGTAACATTCTCTCATACATGGTTGTCACTCGCCAAAGGTCGTCGCAAAACAGCACTGTAAATAGTTTGCCGGTAAATAAAGTGCAGATTTTGAAGCCTTGTCAACCTCTGAATCTGGGGAGCCTTCGAAGTGAGGACTCATATAGGTGGTTCAACAAGCGTATCTTGCACATACAATAAAGTCTAGCAATTGACGTCTGTTGCGTAGTAGACACGAATTCATGATCCTAGTATCATAAGCCACCTTAGTCCATCACAACGAGACTACAACTTGACCTGGTCTGATGGTCGGTGTGTCTCCGTGACCCTGCGAGATACACAGGATGGCATTTCATATCCGTAGCTCCAATCATGCCTGAAAGGTCAACGAGTAGAAGCCAGACAAAGCTCAGTCTCAAAGCCAGCTGTTTGGGCACCTCCTGGCTTCCTTTATTCATCCACACCCGCCCCTGGAGATGTCACTCCAACAAATAAACACGGTGAGGGGCAGTTTCGCGGTAAAAAAACCGCTAAATGGAGGAGCAGGGTACTTTGGGTTTCCTCCACACGGTGTGAGAAGTCTTCGCACTTCACTGGGCAGCTACCGCCAGCCAAGCTGAGCAGCCGCCCCCCCCCACACACACACATACGTTCCGCTTGTCTCATTGAGTGCGAGACTAAGGGCTGATCCCGAAAAGTGGACGGATAATCAACGCACCAGCGAACAACATAATTAATCGAAATTCAAAGGCCTAGCATGACGGGTCTCCAAAAGCTCCCACACGGACGCTTCGTTCACGTTCCCGTGTTGGATATAAGCCTTACTGCTTTGTGGATCAGACTTTTTGAGTCAAAGGCTCCGGCTAGGGTTCCCAAAGAAAAACCCTTTCGTCGATGTGGGCTGTCGCGAAGTATGACGTGTCCATTTGGCACCCATTTGGAGAAACCTCTTTCCGATTTATCTGGTTCTTCCTCTCAATCCCGAATAATTACAAACGCCTGTTTACGTCATCCATTGAATATCACTCAGCGTTTTACTAGCAAAACCAAACAGCCAGAAGTTACAGGATCTTTGAAGCCAAAATTCCCCTTTTACTGGGCCGCGTTCAATGTCCGCACACTATCAGATTGGTCAACAAGCTGTCTTAGCGAGAACCCTTGGAACTTTCAATCTAGATGTATACTGTCTCCGAAACACGCATACATACTTCAGTCATCTCCCTGCGCTCTCCTGATGCAACCTCAACCTCACTCATCCCTCTCCGTGTGCCAGGTGATTCGGCATCCGAAACTCGCGGTGTTGCTGGTGTTGGAATTGCGTTAAGTGTTTAACCAACTACAACAGATACCCACGATACAGCGTCAGAGATTGCTGCAAATCAACCTTCGACTCTCCGATCGCCTATCAGCTTAATCAGCAGCCGAAGGACTCCATGAACACTAGAAGCAAATCAAGGAAGCTATGCCAAGTATCGACAAAAACAACGGACCCTATCACAAGCTTCAAATACAAACGATGGATCTCGTCGACCTCGGCTGCCCTCCTGGACGCCCACAGAACTGTCTCTCTCAATTCCACATATGACAGCGCGCAAACCCCTCGAACGCCAGCTCATCAAGAGTCTGAGGAATGACCGCGAGAAATGGGGGACAGGAAAGTGTAAAGAGATGGAGAAAGCTGCGGCTATTGGCAATAGTCGCAATCTTTTCCGTCCAATTAGGAATACGGGCCTTAGGAAAATAGTGAGGTAATTAAGGAGTCCGATGGCACACTGAATCACCATCAGCAACTATGTCTCGACAGTTGGGCTGAACATTTCGAGGCTCAGTTTAACTGGCTCCTATCAACATCTGAACTATCGCTCTCCACCTCGAGCGGGCAAATATTCCCAGTTGAAGACAGTCCTCCATCTAAAATAGAGGTTTTCTGAGAAATAATCTACGTCAAAAGGCACAAGGCCTACGGTTCAGACGAGCTGTCCCCATCGACTTTTAAGGATGGAGGCTCAGTCTTGGTCTCGGAGTCAAAACTCCTGGGATCTAGGTAAGCTGCAAGCTTTTCTGGATAACTTGAGCGTCAGTGTAGCCATGTTCGGTATGCGTTTTGTAAAATGTTACTACAAAATTGATTTGGTCTCGCACCCAGACTCACTTTAACTGGGGTAGCAATATAGCACGTGGATAAGTTTTGTTATTTGGGCAGTTACATCTCCCCGGGCGGACGCATCACGGATGAAGCGTCAGCTCGCATACAAAAGGCTCGGTTGGTATTGGCCAACTTGAGACATCTGTGGCGCCATCGCGACATCCAGCTGTCTGTTAAGGGTCCAGTGTATGCTGTGGCAGTTCGGCAGTGCTGCTATACGACGCAGAAACTTGGCCATTAGGAAAACAAGGTAAAGGTAGACTGTTGGTCTTTGAATACCGCTGTCTACCCAGCATTGCACGAATCTGGTGAAGCAGCCGGACAAGTAATGCTGAGGTTAGGCATAAAGTTTTAGGCAACCACGATCGCCCTCTGGAGCAAGTGTTCGACCCCCATGGATTACGTTGGCTGGGACATGTGTTACGCATGTCACCAAATAGGTTACCCCGGGCGGGCGATGTATTCCGAGGCAGGTAGCGGTTGGAAAAGGGTAAAGGATTGTCAAACGAAGACCTGGCGTGAGGATATGAAAACCCTAACCAGGAAATCGTTCTGTTCTGTTCTTACAACCATTAACCATGCATTTTCGTGAGTCGGTTTTCTTTGTTGTCTTTTGGTTGCCTATTTGGATAAAAGAATGAAGATTAGAATGTTTACAGCAGATTCAAAAGGAAAATAGACGGAAGTTACAAGGATAATGAGCAGATGCATGAGCGCCACTGTTTGCAACGCCTAGCCATATCGCTCAGTTTCTCTAACCATCGTTGACCATAATCTCGAGGTCCCCATCCAAGGAGTCTAACGGGACATATGTGACCCAGGCTCCTGGTCAGGGTTTTCACACCCCCATGCCAGGTCTTCGTTTGACCACCCTTAACTTTTTTCCAACCACTACCTGCTCGGTAAACATCGCCAGGATACTAGGTCACATAGGCCCCGTTAGGCTCCCTGGCTGGGGACCCCGAGATGATGGTAACCGATGATTAGAGACACTGAGTGATATGATGGGGTGTTGCAAGCAGAGGCACTCGTGCATCTGCTCATTATTCTCCTTACACCACTCTATATGAATTCCCTATGTTCCGCTTGAATTCGCTCTCAACATTCCAATCTTTATCTTGCTCTTTCATCAAAATGGGCGACCAAAAGACAGAAACCAGAAACGGTGAACGAAAGTGCATGGTTAATGGTTGTAAAAACCGAACTGAACTGAACTCGAGACCCGGGACTTAGAGTGGCGAAACACATAAGGCTCCGCAAGAAAGGATGTAGTATTGGATCGGATGGCAACAGAGCTGCCTACCACCTATGTTGGGTGGCGGTGGCCCGGAAGTTTGATCGTAACTGGAACAGAATGAAGATCCACTATCGGTGTTAGAACATCGCTTTCTAGTCCGCATTGATCAAATTTGATGGGGTAACTGTACGAGCGATGCTGCGATTAGGCAGGTATGCAGTGAAGCGACCGCTCGGTCTTCACCGGTTACGGTGATTAAGGAATGCATTAGGCATGTCGGTTGGTCCAATTACAACTTGGTTTCGTTTGTTCTCGTGAGCTTCAAGTCACCACTTCAGAATACTCTGAATGTAAGCATCTCCATTTATTACCTTTAGGTCTGAAATAATAAGCTAGTTGATCAAGTTGCTACCGATAACTAGAGGTGAGAATCAGTTCCTTAATTACCTACAGGGCCTCGTTTGAACTGCAATAGAAATGATAGATTACGTTACGGCTAAAACCCGGTTACCAGTTACCTGGGCAACCTGGCAGTACTCCGTCAACGATACATTTCTCACCGGAAGAGCATGGTGCCAACACAACAGCAATGATAATAAGAATGGCAGGACTGGTTACATACAAGTGAAATAAAAATGAAGAAAAACAGATGACGGAGAACAGGAAGAATAAACTACAAAAAATCCTAGTTTTACCGTACACATTCTGCTCTTCATCTGTTTTGGGGAAAGTCATTTAAAGTAAACAAACAAGCCGCACAACAATCGCGCCACTGACTTCTATTCTGGGCCATATATCTTAGCGCCTCTAACCAAGGGTAATCTTTACCGCTTTGGTCCCAACCAGGAAGGCGAGCTGCACCAACCGAAGCCCATGCTAACGCTGACTTCCTCAGACCAGTACATCAGGTCGTCTGACCGCCGCGACGCTTCTTCCAGCGTATCTCAGCACGTGCGAACAGAGTACGGATAGGTAAACAACAGGCAGGTATTTGCAAAACATGACGGGGCCATCGGAGGTGAAAAGCGATTACTTCTTTTACGGCACGATTACATGTACTCAACACACCACGACGAATTTAGTCATTGCTCACATGCTGTTCCCACCCGATATGAGCAATGCTTCGGAGGGATCGATTTTCAGTTGCGACCGTAAAGCAGAACGCTATGAACCGCGGTGACGCATGCTCTTCTCTCGGCGCAGTGGTTTACTTACTGTCACCAGTGTGCTTTAGACCCTATGGTTCGATTTTCGAGCCCCACTACCGCCATCCAACTTGGTGGTAGGCAACTTTGCTGTAGTCCGTTTTAATATCATACCTGACCTAGCGGGGCCTTTTGCAGTTCGCCACTCCAAGTCCCAGGGATTAGGTTACGAGTTTCCATCACTGGACAGCAGGTCTGTGCAACTATGGGATCCACCTCGTCTGCTGTTCATTACACAACCGTCATAAAAAGAGACGGTCGGATATCATGGCGGTGCCATAAAAGTCGCAAGTTGGCAAAAGCTGGTATACCTTTCGTTATCTGTCATTTGCTTTCTTTCCCAACACCACCCACAGCTGTGATCAAGCTTCAGAAATACTTAAAGCTCACAACCACTTACAGCTGATCACCACAGAGGGTGGTGATCTTTCGCTTGAATTTCCTCTCAATATTCCAATCTTCATTCTGCTGTTTTACCCAAATGGGCAACCTAAAGACAGCAACGAAAACGGGCGCATGAGTGCATGGTTAATGGTTGTAAGAACTGAACCACAGAGACTGAGTGTGAGCACTCTTCTGCTAGACTTGAGCAAGAACTACGCACTTGATCGCCAAATGGTTTGAATAATCTTNAACAAAGCAAAGTCATCGGCATGTCCTAAGACGAAAACTTTGTTCCCTGGGCGTTCGACCTAGGACCTGCTGTTTATTGATGGAAACCGGCAGCCTAAACCGCGTTACTTGGAGTGGTGAATAACATAAGGCCCTGATAGGTTAGGTGTGGTATTGAACCGGACGACAGAAAAGCTGCCTATTATCAAAGTTGGATAGTGGTACTTAGAGTAAGTTCGTTATGCAGCAGAACGACTGGGTTCCATGATTACATGAATTTTATTATTATCAGAGCCCAAGCTCCGCAACTTAAAATAACGAACTAAATAAAACAACACGGAAGAAATTTATACTCCTTCCCTTCTCCCAACACAACTGTCATCCCACAGAAACAGCTGTCAAGGAACGAGGTCATTGACTCTTAGACTCCAAATAATTACTAGATGAATATCCCGGTTAAATGCTTTTTTACCTTATACCGTCGAATGTGGAATAACGGAACTGATGAGCTTGATGGCTTCTACAGTGTGACCATTTTAAAAGGAAAGCTTCGTTATGAAGCCTTAAGCATGGAGTTCTAATAGTCTGAAGTCGTTCATATACAAATTCTGCCAGCTATCAGTTCCAAAAGACTACATGCATGCATATCACCAACCCACCTGCGCTTCACCCGAAACGGCCTTCGCTAGAAGCGTTTTCCCCACACCTGGAGGTCCGACCAGGAGAACTCCTTTGGGCAACTTTGCACCAATTCGATTAAACTTTTCGGGATTCCTCAAGAATTCAACAACATCTTGAAGTTCCTTTTTAACCTCATCACACTAGGAAGGTAGACGACATAAAATTGAAGTTACCCCTTGCACGTCGCCAAAAGTAACATCCGCATTCTCCGCAAAAGATGCAACACTTGGATCCAGCATTTTAGGAAATGCACCTAGATAATGTTGAGTGATAAGAAACAAAAGCTTTATTAACCTCCACCGATGATCTTGTCCGATGAGCGGAAGAGATAGTAGCAAATGACACCGAAAATCACAATTTTTCCAAAGTTGTTTGTCAGAGTTTCGAACATTCTCGACTTTTTGTCACTTTCAGTAGATGACTGGAATCCCTTTCTGTAAGCTTCAACCAGTTGGAGTTGTACAGAGGGCGGATGATCTTTTAGCAATTCTTTCAATTCTGTTTGACGCAGCTCTTTCTTTTTAGCTTCCTTTATGGGGGACTTCCTGGTATCTAATATGAAAGAACTCCGTATTCCACTTGTCTGAAGATCTTGTGAGCCGAAATTTCTCAGAGGAATGATGAACGG